AGGAGGAGGGAGGGAGGAGGGAGGAGGAGGGAGGAGGAGGGAGGAGGAGGGAGGAAGAGGGAGGAGGGGAGGGGGGAGGAGGAGGGAGGAGAGGAAGGAGGAGGGGGGAAGAGGAAGGAGGAGGAGGAGGAGGAGGGAGGAGGAGGAGGGAGGAGGAGGGAGGGGGAGGAGTAAGGAGGGGTGATGATGTTTGGATCTCGAATGAGGAGGTGTTATTCTGGACTTCCACGCGCTTCCACTGTTTGCCAGTGCTACTTGGCTGTGACGATAAACACAAACTAATTATTAAGCGTCGCCTTTGAAGGATGGTAATCATAAACAAACAACCCCTCGGCCACGTTATTTGTGTCTCCGCGTAAACAAAAAGAAAAATAACGGCGTAAAAACGCTTTTATTTGTGTATTTATCACACATCCTATCGAACGCTCGGCCTTTTGTGCCTCACAGCCAGAAGTGCTTACAACAGATGCGTAAACATCACACGTGTACATATATAGAGAGAGCTTTAAAACCCACTCATTCTGCCTTCCCAGTATATATACGGGGTCGGATCTCTTAGAATTTCTCATTTACTTGATACAGCAATCGTGCTGTGACGGTTCAACCTGAAGACGGAAGCTTGTGTTGCCTCCGAAACGTCGTGATTTTTATTTGATTTTTATTTTACTTTATTTATTTTAATTTTTTACCTACACAGTGACTTTACCGAAAAATCCCAAGAATAACATTCTACCTTCTTCCCTGATTGTCATCCCAACCCGCGCTCACGCCTCATTCCATCACCACCACCCCCCCCCCCCAAAAAAAAAAAAACCTCCCCACGGCCACCCACCATCAATCCACTCGTCTCATTTCCACTTTCGTCAATTCCACGCATAGTCACCACCAGTTCAGTTCAGTTAATTTATTTAGGTATAGCCCTGTGAGCCATTCGGCTCTTGAATCGGGTACAACCGCAACAAACAAAAACATGAACAAGAAACATCTAGAAACGCGCAACAGAAAACACCAAAAACAACAACAACCACAACAACTGCATATGTCCCATCTACTCACCTCGTTGCATCCCGTCGACCGTCGTGTCCCACGGTCTGTGAATGTGCCATAAGGCTGGGATCGTACGCGTGGAATGCGAAAGCATTGCAATTTAGTGAGCACATTTTAATTTTTGGGGAGAGGGCCCGGATTATGGTTTTGTAGGCCCCTGGGCTACAGGGTACAGCGAGAGCCCCCCCCCCCCCCACCCCCAGTAATATTTTCAAAAGGAAAACAAACTTAAAGAAAAATAAAATTGTATTTTTTTTACAAGGCTAACAACAAATGAAACTCAACATTCACAAATGAAATCACTTTTCACTTCATCCCTGGAGGCCTCTTCAGCTGGCGGGGGCCCTCTGGTCTGCAGCCCCTAAAGCCCCCACGCCCTGGGTGGGGGAGAGGAGGGTGGTGGTGGTGGTGGGTGGTGTTGGTTGGGGGAGAGGAGGGGTGGTGGTGGTGGGGTGGTGGTGATGGTGGTGCGGTGGGTGATGCTGGTGGTGGTGCAGGTGGTGGTGGTGCGGGTGGTGATGGGTGGGGGAGAGGAGGATGGGGGAGAGGAGGGTGGTGGTGGTACTGGTGGTGGTGGTGGGTTGGGGGAGAGGAGGTGGTGGTGGTGGTGCGGGTGGTGGTGGTGCGGGTGATGGTGGTGGTGGGGGAGAGGAGGGTGGTGGTGGTAGTGCGGGTGGTGGTGGTGCGGGTGGTGGTGGTGGTGGGGACACGCAACAAAAGAACCCTCCCACAACACCAGGTGGGAATTCAAGAGGGGAGGGGCCCAGCACCCAACAATTAAAGAGCCCCCCTCTTTAATTGGGGGGGAAGGGGGGAGTGTGGAGGTGGGGGGTCCTTTGTGATGAATGCCCGACACGCCGAGTGACGTTTAATTTAAACCACCGCGGCCACCCTCACTGGCTGTGACCCCCTCCCCCGTCGTCACGTGTCAGAGGAAATCGCGTGGCGAATGCGCAACACGGCAACACGCACACGCCTCTGTGTGCTGTTGGGGGTCTCTCTATTAATGGGGGGGGGGGGTAGTGAGGGAGGGGGAGGGTGGGGGGGGGGAGTTTATCCTTGCGCCTCGGATTTTTGAAAGCCCCTTACAGAAATAAAAATTAACCCGTAAAAACAAAGTTTTTCACTATAAATCCTTTATATGCGTGGCGGCTAGAGTCCTCTCGTCCTCTGGCTTGAGATGGCTGCCACCTATGGGTCAGATGATTGTCTGCCACCATTAAGCAATTGGTAATTAAATATTTTTTTTCCCTAAACAGTGTAACATTTTGGAATTTTTTTTTCCACGGAAATTAATTGTCACGCACAACGAGTCTGTGTGCAAAATGTCAGCTCGATTGGATCGCGGGCAGTGGGTTAAAAAACGACCGAAAGATTTGCACGGTCGTAAGCAAGCAAGCACGCAAGCAAGCAAGCGAACTTAATATAAAGGATTTAAAAATATGTCAAGCCAAGAAGTCAAAGAGATTTCCTGCTCACTAAATTAGCATTGAGGCTGCGCCAAATCTGCACCTTCGATTAGCGCGGTTGGCTACGTACTGTGCGAAAGAAGTTCAACTAATCATACAATCTCCTCGGTTACGTCCCCACTTCTTCTTATTCGCGCGGCTGATGTCGATGTAGAGAGCAACAGCTGCGATGTTGTACATCGAGGTTGTTGATGAGCCAGGTGATGGCGACAGGAGTGAGCTGGGTGCTGAATCATCGCTGCTGTGTTCACCATGTCTCCTCCTACCCCGTTTTGTCCTGGATTAGTCTATTGCTCTGCGTTACAGTCTACGGGTCTATGTGTGAGTCTGTGGGTTTCTGTGTTAGTCCAGGGGTCTACACGTGAGTTTATGGGTCTCTCTGTGAGTCTATAGGTCTCCATGTGAGTTTATGGATCCTTGCGTGAGTCTATGGGTCTCTTTGTGAGTCTATGGGTCTCTGTATGACTCTATGGGTCTCTGTGTGTGTCTATGGGTCTCTGTGTGAGTCTATGGGTCTCTGTGTGTGTCTATTGGTCTATGTGTGTCTATGGGTCTCTGTATGAGTCTATGGGTCTCTGTGTGAGTTTGCGGGTCTCTGTATGAGTCTATGGGTCTCTGTGTGAGTCTACGTCGATGTCGAGAGAGAGCAACAGCTGTGATGTTGCACCGAGGTGGTTGACGGGCCAGGTGATGGCGTCAGGAGTTAGCGGAGTTGGTGAATCACCGCTGCTGTGAAGATGCCTCCTTCGTGTCCACGTGACATGTTCCGGGGTTCTGTTCGACTGGCTTGTGCCCACAGTCTCCGCAACACTGACCAGAGAGAGTTTGTTCATCGTCTATGGTCCCAGCTGCCTTGAGATCATTGACAAGATCCTCCCGTGTAGTTCTGGGCTGATTCCTCACCGTTCTCATGATCATTGCAACTCCACGAGGTGAGATCTTGCATGGAGCCCCAAGCCGAGGTAGATTGAGAGTACTTTTGTGTTTCTTCCATTTGCGAATAATCGCACCAACTGTTGTCACCTTCTCACCAAGCTGCTTGGCGATGGTCTTGTAGCCCATTCCAGCCTTGTGTAGGTCTACAATTTTGTCCCTGACATCCTTGGAGAGTTCTTTGGGCTTGGCCATGGTGGAGAGTTTGGAATCTGATTGATTGATTGTTTCTGTGAACAGTGTGTTTAATGCAGGTAACACGCTGAGATTAGGAGCACTCCCTTTAAGAGTGTGCTCCTAATCTCAGCCTGTTACCTGTATAAAAGACACCTGAGAGCCAGAAATCTTTCTGATTGAGAGGGGGTCAAACACTTATTTCCCTCATTAAAATGCAAATCAATTTATAACATTCTGGATTGTTTGGTTGTTATTCTGTCTCTCACTGTTCAAATAAACCTACCATTAAAATTATAGACTGATCATTTCGTTGTCAGTGGGCAAACGTACAAATCAGCAGGGGATCAAATACTTTTTTCCCTCACTGTACATAGAGACCCATAGACACACTGATAGACGCGTAGAGACGGTCCAGGTTCCTCCGGTTTTTGCATCCCTCCACATTTCTGGAACACGCTTTTACATGATTTGGTTGTGTATTATGCTGGTAGGAACCTCCTGGTCACACCAGCCCACAGGGGATTATTGTGTCCGTCCGTCGTGCAGGGAGGGGCTGGGTGGGGAGGGTGGGGCTGGGTGGGGAGGGGTTGGGTAGGGAGGGGGGTGGGGAGGGGCTGGGTGGGGAGTGGGAGGGGTGGGGGCTGGGTGGGGAGGGGCTGGTCACCCCGTGGTGCCCTTATAAAACTCAACGTTTAACCTACTCACGCCGGCTTGTGCCCGCCCTCACAGTCGGGCATATTTGCGGAATACACCACGCCGCCGTTGACCCTGGCCATTGACCGAGCAACCCAACGTTCCTACCAGCTCCCTCCGCAAGAATGTGTTAAATTCCCACGTGTGGTGATGATGATGATAATGACGATGATG